GATTCAGGATAGTTGAGTGCAAAGAATCAATAGTAACCACAAAGTCAGACAAATGTGATGCACATGATTGAGTTTATCAGGTGAGTCAGGCGGTACAAGAATTATGTAGACACTAGGTAATCCGAGATTTCAAGGGCGAAGTCAGATCCGTCTATGTTTTTACAAATATGAAAATACGATAGTGACGGAGGACTCCTACCTACAAATAAACATACAGACCACACAATAGAATCTACCTTACTCAATAAAGACACTAATGGTATCAGTGAGGTAAAGTATACAGACTCCGAGGACGACAAGAACAAAATTTGAAGGGAAGACAAAGAATTCCTTGTCATCCCAACAACTGCATGAAAGGTGAATATCATGAAACTACATAAGCAGCTATCTGAATAGGACAGGGGTTATGGTAACAATCATGTCTACAAAACTCTCAATCGAGTAATCTAACCTTGAGGAATCCATGAGTTGAATAAGCAGACTGTCTGTCTTACACTCGATTTCAACACATGTCGACTGATCATACGTATTGCGGAACTGTAAATTATTTTCTCAGGGTTTTCGGATTATTTCCGAGAATTTTTTTCAAAATATATACCATGAAGTTGACTTCGTGTGCACAGTCCAACGGAGATAGTGACAGCCCCCAAGCTATTTTTAGTCGACTAAATAGAAGCCTCTTCTTAGAATTAAACTTATGGAGAACCAAGCGAAATGAAATCAGATTTTTTTGAATTGATGCATCATAATAGAACAATTCTCAAATATCCATGATACCACACTGGTTATTGGTCTTATTGCACATCTGTGTGTCAAACACACTGACTTCGACATTCATTGACCTAGGTGTCATTCAAGATAGTAACCTGATTCTCCTCAGGGTTGTTGATGATTAACATGACCATACGAAGGCATTTGCTGACTGACCGATCTTAACATTTGTTTGTATATATGTGAATGTCAGTTGTAGATCTAGGTGAATTGAATCGAAATCGACGTTCGTCCAGCACGACTTTCACTTTCTGACTTTCATTCATTAGGCATGCGTAGATTGTCGTTTATAAACGCTTAATTTAGAGGGAAACTTTGAAGCATATCTTACTTAAGTCAACCTCAGCGTCCAATTATTTGTAATTTCAAATATTTTACACGAATGCAGACAATAATTTTTCTCGTCTTTTAGGCCTAAAATTTGTTTTGCCAGGAGAATTATACCACCAATATTCACTTAGCATCACGTCTCAATAATTAATCGAGAAATCTGAGCTCCAAATGGGCTGGAGCCTTTCAGCTCCATTTTTATGAATAACCTTGCACGATGATCTAAACGTTTTCTATGCCACTATTTGCCATGAACAATGCATGAACAGTTTCAGTAACCGGAATCATCGCTTAGATTGCCATTCAGTGTTTATGCGTTATGTCTGAGAGATGAGTTTATGTTGAATAATTAATCTGAGTGCCTGAAGTCTCAAAATAACTTCGTCGATTCATTTTTGTCACAAAAAACATTGTGATTCAGATGTGTTTAAACTTGGTCAGACATCTTGAAGTAGCAGTAAATATCTGTCTCTCAACGTCAAGTCGCTTCAGTTAGCCAGATATGATGGTTTCCTTACCAGCCATTAGCGAGACGATTATTCGACAGTCAAACTACAGAACCATGACGTATTTTACACGTTGTTTTGCACATTAAGAACATTCATGCACTGAATATGTGTATGCAGGTCATCTAATATGGCTAGACCTTGTTTACAAATGATGTCAGAGAATGACAGCTGGATAGTGTAATTGGTGGTTTACATCTGTTTCTGAGCTTCTCATATTTGACGATAATTTTTACCCATCATTGAGGAAACCCAGCCGACTACCCGCAGTCTATCACAGAATTTGAGGTCATGCTGAGTGGTTTTGTATTAAATGATGAAATGAAGTTAATGTATTTGTTGAAATATTTCACTGGTGTAGCTGCAAGAGCCATACAGTGCTGTAAGTTTATGCCCCCGAACGAAGGATATACTGAGGCAATGAAGATACTACGTCAAAGGTTTGGAAAACCATTTATGATATCCCGTAAATTTTTCGAGACAGTGAAAGCTAATGGATCACGGTTAAACGATAATCCAGAGGAACTTGCAGAGTTCTTGGATAATTTGATGGTATATAGAAATACACTCATGTCTTTTAACTGCGTAGATGAATTGAACTCAAGTTCCGTGCTTGAAACTGTTACCAAGAGATTACCCGTTCGTCTACAAAGGAAGTTCATAAAGGTTTGTTCACGTCTAGAGAAGGAGGGTGTAGAGCCTGGGTTGGATGACATTGTGAGCCTGGTGAAAGACAGTGTCAACGAAGCTTTGAGGAAGTTTGCTAGTATGCTGCATCCCACCCCTGGAATAGAGAAATCAGAGAGCAAAATGGAATCATTTATGACGAAGGGGTCTCAGGGTAGTGGATATCGAGAAAGCTGTATGGCGTCTAGTAAACCTAATGATTGTGACAGCTTCAGTGGGACGTCCCCAACGGATAAGTTACAAGCTGCAAGACAAACACGGTTGTGCTTCGTCCGTTTGCAAGAAGTGCATACAAAGGCGAACTGTGAAGCAATGAGCAAGTTTAGTGGTAAGCTAAATGTGAAGTCAGTGTCATCGTGTTCTGACTCCGAATCGTGTATCGATAATGGTGCGGTGAAGAAGCCTGTAGTCGTAACTGGTAATCCATTGTTGGAAAGGGTGTCTCAGACGACACTGCAGTGTGTGCATAAGAAGAGGGTTACAGTTTCAGTGTCCAGTTCTGACTCTACAAGTTTACAAGGTATTACTAGTCAAAGTGAAGGAATAAGACCTTTAAGGGTTCATGAGGAAGAACCTAAGTCATCTACGGCTGTTATTAAAGAGTGTGAAAATGATGAAGTCTATCATACAGACGGCGGTAAAGTAAGTATTTTTGACAATGGTCATGATAGTTCACATTTGTCTGTGGCTGATCATGATGAGGTTAGCGGAATGCCTACTACTACTGAGTTGAACAATAGTTCTGTACAACTTGAACGTGAAGTAGAATTAAAGGCAGATGCGGTTGCAGAAGGTATGGATACTAGTGAGACCGTCAGTGTAGAAGATCCGAGTGTAGCCCAACTATCGACAGATGTTAAAGCTGAACTGGAGCCAATAATGAAAGATAGCAGTGGTGGTAATCCTGTGGTTAGACAACCTCCTAAAGGTCTAACAACAACAGCTTCTGATACACCGCTAAGTTCATCAACTGGTGTCAGCCAGTCGTCGTTGGTGTTGTCATATGCGGTATAAGAGCCGTCCATGAACCAACGTGTCTTATGGAATGATTATGCTAGTGTTGGTCCGTTGGAGGGGACGAAAGTCAATGGCCAGTTTAGTGACAATAAGCCAACTGTGTACAAGGTGTTAGCTGTTAGACTGACTTGCACGAATAAAGGCATTTCAGGTTTCAAACCACTATTTGAATGTTATTATCTTTGGTGCAAATTACTCTGTTCCTTCGCTTGGTTGGTCAGATAAGTCGTATGTTTGTTAGTCATCTACATTTCACGATACAATGTCATGGGTGTGTTACCATTCAGATTTGAGGATAAAGATGATGGAAGGAGGTCAGCAGATGAACTCAACGACGATTCTTCAACTTACGTGCGTCAACCTGAGAAAAGTTGTAGGCGTACTGCTGTAAGTCCTACAATTCTTCAAGGGTAGTACGTCGAAGCGTAGTCCATCGTACTTGGTGTATTATTTTGTACATATGTTCATGTTGTATATATTGAATTGGTATCACCCCTCTTCTATCTTTTGATTAATTTTGTTTGTGTCCGGACGTGTTCCACTTGGATCGTCAACCTGAGAAGGAATGTAGGCGTACTGCTGTAAGTCCTACAGTTCTTCAAGGGTAGCTCGTCAAGGCAGAATCCACAACATTTCATATATATTGATTGTACATATGTCTGTGTTAAGTAATTGAGTGAGTTCCGATTCATCTGATTGCCGGTTAGTTTTATAGTTGTCGCATTGTATGAATCATCATGTAATGTTTTGTAAGTACTTTTGAAGTCGCTTCTAAACTTGTGAACGAATCGAGTAGTGTTAGAGTCAGCGTACGCGAATGGATTGTGCTAGAGTGGTATAAAGCAACCAATACTTCGTAAACCAGATCAGTGGTGGTACTGTCAACAGAGAGCGTAGATCCCACGCGCCGAAGAGAGCGTTTCGTTGTGATGTGGTATGCTTGTTGTGTGTTGGGCATTTTTGTCTTGCTTTTTCATTTAAGACTAGTCCCGATTTGCCCAGGTTCCCGTATTGGCAGTTCAGTTCAAGGTTATTGCCGCTGTGGAAAAAGCGGATGGACCCATTTTTGCCGGGGAGTGTCAATGGACGTGAACATTAAACGTTTGTTTATTGGAACTGCCAGCCACTGGTGGGCAACTCGAAGGTGCGAATGGTACGATCGCGTGCAAGTTGGGGAAAGGTGGAAAGAACACGAATAAAAATTTTGTATTTTGTCTTGCTTTAATTGCCAAACAATATAATTTCGTTCAAGGAATACTGGTGTTTTGGATTTAAAGTTGAAACAAATACATAGTCTTTATCGGTTCAAGGCGTCTACGTTACAATAGGAACTTAGGGCTAAGTTCCTTGACAAGTGTGTTTAACGATGGGAGTAAGCTTGATTGAATGTAGGTTGTTCAAACTGAGGATCAATTTTTCTCACGGTACTATCCAGATAAATCTGAGGTTTGCTTTCTCACGTTCACACCTCAACCAATTAAATTTAATACTCACATCCACACGGCCAAGCGAGCGTACAAACACATATAAGTGAGCTCCACTTTAATAGGTTAATTGAAACTAATTCCATTGGTTGAACTAGCTGACCTGATCGGATTTTCGCTTCACTATCTTCTTCAGAGGTATAAATGCATGCTGCTTAACTGTGCCGTATTGTCTCTATACATATTCAATTCAGTTTTGATAAGGATGGTAAGTGTCAGAAAATTTTGATGTTTGCACCTTCCAGATCGGCCATATACTTCTAACAGCACTTGTGATCTCAGTCGTTGACAGTACATCTGTACACCAGAACCATCTGTCGAAAGACGCTGAACTTCGTCATTCTTCTGGTCAAGGTGAGATATGAATACATTTCACAAACTGGTTACTTCATCTGACATACTACAGTGTCGTTTCCGGTGATTCGCGCTATAGCAGAAGCATGTGTATACCGATGTTTGTGTGTATAAGTGCTTGTGTATATAGCTGTGCAATGATTATCACAGATGTTGATGCTGATCATGGAAACACGCGACATGTCGTGTCATGTCGTGTCGCCTATGACATGAAATGCATGTGTTAGATGCTCAACTCTGTAAGCTCAGCAACATGGCGGTGACAATGAGCTGTCGCAATATTCAGGAGCAACCTCAAATGTTTGTTTCCCATTCTCAGAGTTATTGACTTATCGAGCGTGGAATTACGAGTCTATTCAGTGCATGACTTTATCGACTCCAGCGCATTTCACAATGCCACCTGATTCTGACCACGTATTGTATTTCTCTCTACTTCACAGATGTTGACGACAAACATGTCGGTGAACGGACTATGTTCGTCGGTGAGAGAAATAACTCTGTGGCGCCGAGATGGTCGTTTGATTGGTTTTGGTGATTATTCTAACTGACTTTATTCATTTCTCACACATTCCAATGCATGTTTGGTAAAGTATTTTCATTTGTTCTAATTTCTTTGAACATTTTCATCGGATACATGACTGTTTTGCGTGTCGCGATTAATAAAGCACCTTGAGGAAGACATTAGGCGTCAAGTAGGTGCTTGTCACGACATATTTTCGTAGTGCGTTAGACCAAAGACAGATGAAAAGAGAAGGTATAGCTAACAAATATGTCTCAATTCACTGGTGTGGAAACAATGTTTTGAGATAAGACATTAGCAGCATATAATACGATTCGATCTGCTGTTAAGGAAATTGTTTGACGTCATGGAAACCTACCAATGATAGTTCAAAGTAGTGTTGAAGTAATTTTTCCATGAATGTGAAAAAATAGGAAATAACCACAATACACCTGTAACTAACAATAATACCAGCAGATAATTTAGCTATAAAGATTACTTTAATATCTTTACATGCACCAAGAACAACTTCACTTGAAGAGGAGGTGTTGACAGTATTTGTAAGATTAAACGAATAGTATTAACACATCTCTTAAGGAGAAAGGCAGATACAGCACACTTTGGCAGCGTTTAACATAATTCAGACATTTGAGAGCATCAAGACTTTCGAGACCGTGGAAGTGACTAGCCTTATGGTTTGTAACATTACACATGAAGGCCTCAACAGTGAAACTTCGGAGGGATTTGCCAAGGGAATCGAATCGAACACAGAGAACAACAACTCTTTGCTTACCACTACCAGCAATTTCATTTGAAATGTCTCGATAGGTATATTCACTCGGCTTCAATAACTTCAATCAACAGATAAATGTTTGTGACACACGTGAAATAATTCATATCTTTATGTCCAGTGAAGCATTTGACTTGTAGATAGAAGTAAATGGCGACTCGTCATCATTACTGATGAGATTTCTAATTGTTTTGAGGTGGATATTGAAAGGTCGATTATATACTGAACTAACAAGAAGTCTCTAGATTATCCGAAATATGCAGACGACTTATGCATATGAAGACGCACAACATTCAGCAGGTTAAGACCAAAATTTTGGTGAGAGATGTATTTAAGGTAAGAATATGTAGGAAATGGAGATACCAGACAACAAGCAATGGAAAGCATCAGTCACTATCAAAAGTACGAATTTGATGAAAATTACCTCTTTCAATTATCTTGGCAGCATAATTATTACTACAGCTGGCAGCAGAGTTGAGGATACCAAACCTGAATTCATCACTCTGTAATCTACGTGAAAATCTTGACTGAAGGTAGATGAAGTGTTCCTGTACTGTTCTGATACATCAGAAGTTCTTACTTTATTATTTTATTTCTTTTATCATTCTGAGTGGATAAAAAGCTTCCCCTTTTAGGGCTTTGAAGTTTCAGTAGCATTTGTGTTTATGTTTTACAGAGTGAGGTGTGTTAGCCACACCTTCAAGCTTTTGTGATTATCGTTCTCACCACCAGCCAAGTGAGGTTTAGAAGTGAGACCATTAGGAATCTAATCTTGAACCGCTTACTTCGTTAACGTGCAATCTGCCATTGCACCGCAGACACACTTTACAACAAATGTATGCAAACACTGGTTCAGGCATAGTCCAATGTCTCTTGAATAATTTAGCAATACGTGTTTTGCTTCAAGGCGAAAACTCTGCTTCAGTCAGCATAAAAAAATACCTCCTGAGAATTTCAACCATTATGCGAAGTCAGTGTTTCCAACAGCCTGCTGAGGTTATTTGTAAAACTCTACCTTCACATGATACCCAAGACCACATTTCCCGTCTGAAAGAATCAGCGAAAAAGAACATTACAAACAGAAACCTGTTGAAAGCAATAGAGATGGGTTAGACATAAGCTTAGGATACTATCGACTGAAATCACACGGCCTTTATCACTTGATTTGAAGCTAGATGTTAAAACATGAAGCATACGGTGTGAGGAGAAAAAGAAATCCTTGGTGAGCTAAAAACGACTGTGGAGAAAAGAGAGATGTGCTATTGAAGCCGTATGTTCCACTCAGAACACGTGGGTTCAGTAGTAAGAATCTGACTTCGATACCACTGACTCTAGGCTGAATATCAGATAACCGGCAGGCAAAGATTAGGATGAAATACTTCAGCAGTCAATTAAAAGTGTGAATGGAATTGTTTTCATTCTCTAGTCGTTTGAAGTAGAAGAAACAAAAAAATAACAACCCATAAACATCACAAGGGTGAGTACGTACACGAGAGTAACTATACTAATGAAAGGTTAAATGTTGTGCAAAGAACACCCAAAACGTTTATATCCCACACACATACACTGTGCTGATTTACACTGAAACACATAATTTATTGAATTTAGAGTTAATAGAAGTACATCAATTTAGGGCAAGGTGCGTTTAGATATACACGAAGGTTATCTCACCCCGGAAACAGAAACTCTCAGATGTTCCAACTGCTCAGGGAGGTAAAATGGAGAGTTGTAAGCCGGAACCATTGCCAGTGTCCACAGGTATTACATAGCTTAGAATTAATAGACATTGTCTGTATGTTGGTGACCACGTTGACATATTCATTAAACATCTGACGTTCATCAATCGATATGTCATATAAAGCAGATCTTTGTGAAATATTCCTTTCTAACTCAGGGATACGTGAACTGATAGAGTCAGTGTGATTACATGTGTGCTTCTTGAGAGTGTAGTGCACTTATTGGTTAGAAGTGTCTATCTTGATTGGTTGGTGATCAGACATAGATCAAGGCGACACAAAAGAAGACAGAATGGTCACATACTAAGTCACAATATGCGTGAGAAATTATACATTTACATAGTTATGCCATCACATAATAAAACACACGATTCGTGAGAGAGGGTGATGTATTATTTAATGCTGGATCCTATCAGATTCATATTTGAAAGGTTATAGATTCAGAAGAGTATCCAACATAAGTTATCCACAGGATTCCATTTGTCATCGCTACACTCATCGATTTCTGCTGACAATTTATTCATACAAAACTCTATTGTGAGCCAATAGTCAAATCGTTTGAACTATGATCTTAGTGTTTTGAAGACAAATTATTCTCAAAACACTTAGGACAAATATATTTTGTGTTGAATGTTATTTTTTAGAATGAATAAGAGGAACTGTGCTCAACAATAATAACAATAAGTAGCGAAAGATTGTAACTGTTTTCTGGCAATTTAAATAGTAACGTTTAGTCTCCGCGTTTTTATGAATCTCTTGAGGCTTCACCTTCCGTATGCTTTAGAACTTTGTACTCCAAAATTTTTCGAAGTGTTTATCAGTAACTGGTAGGTGTTAAAATAATGGATTATAATTCTAAATATCAACTCAACAAATATTTTGTTTATTAGAGAGGAAATACAAAAGTCTAGTGGTAAAAAATCGACATTTGAATAAACATGACTAGTGTGTATAACAGAAGTTTTCGTAACGACGCTCGACATTATTTAAAATAAAGAGTATCCAGTAAATGACAGTATTCAGTATGAAATGAATCACAGAGCCAGTGACACAAGGAAGTATAACAACAGAAAAGGAACAGCCAATTCTTCTATCAAACCTCGTCTTGTCAATTAATGCCAGAATTTTCCATCATAGAATAAATTTATTTGATCGAGACACAAAGAGAAACAGTTTTATTCGCTGATAACGTTTTAAGCGTAATTTGCTGCTCATAATCATCTCAAGCTATTCAAAGAACCTTCAACTTTCAATTGCGTAATTTCCATGTCCCACACCCCTTGATGTTATTGGTAGTAATAATTCCAATGTTTCTGATGTTGCCATTTTGTCATTCACATTGCATAGGTAGAGATTCGTTGAAGAAAGATTCATTGATTAACATCTCTCTCCATATGTTCGTAGAACACTTTAAAACTGTGGCTTTGTTACACACGACTTTATGTTTTATTATTGATGTACATTTTGAGATTACTACATGTTTCTCTAGAGTATTACCCTGCTTCTGCACTTACCTAAAGTCTTATGTCCTGTTTACCTGAATATCGTCGGTTTACTGGTCTGAACCCTTTCGTTGTAGATGGAGTTATGCTTTTCCACACTGACCAAGAAATATTCTTATATCAGTGACACGTGTTCTTTTATCTGCCATATGAAGTCCATCCGGTCGAATGCTCTTACTGTCAAAATACAAACCATTTGTCTACATTGATTATTTTGCTACAAATACATTACATTACATAAAAGGACAGCTAGCACTGATAGGTGGTGTAGACAACGTGTAGGGTGTGTTTCGTGTGTGTCATAAGTTCTCATGATGCGAAGTAATTTTCAATCCATAATCATAATAATTTGATTACTGTTTAAACATTTGCATGTAGAGATGGGCGATTGGCTTAATAAAACATGTTGAGGATATGACCATTAACGAAGTTAATATAATAGCATCAATTGTATATGAAAAACTTATAAAATGAACATTTAAACTATTTAAAAATACCAATAGAACACAAAATACCACAGACACACAAATAATCATGCAGATTGGAAATTATCATCAACATAATCATCGTTATTTTGGTCGGTAGCTTGTGTTTCAAAAATTACATGGGCTCTTAGCTGAACAGCTCTAATATTCTTAATTGTGCACCATAGATTTTAGCTAGGTCTCATGACTGCTAACATGCTTCTGGTTTCTCTCACTATGGAATGCCAATATTGGATGCACAAGTCATAGCTTCAGATTCTTGTCCCATCATATGACCTGGCGTGTGACGTCTACCAAGCATATACTCAAAATATTCACGTTCTAAAACCATTTACTTATGCATAGTTCTTCAGCGATAGTTCATTACCTGTTTTGCTGGCTAGTCTTTTGTTCTTATTCTTTTCAAGTTACCTGATCTTAAGAATTGAGTGAAAGACGTCTCTCGGCGAACGACTGCAGGTTGTAGTAGA